TCTTGTTGGAACTGGGGCGGATTATCATTAGCGTCTACGACCACAATGCGCACGCGTGCCTCGCCAGTCATCGGTGGACTCCCACCATCGGTCACGATGACTTTCAGTTCATCAACAACATTTGCCTCGTAATCCAGTTCCTTCGCAACTGAAATCTCACTTTTTTCTTGACTGATAATGAAGAACTCGCTAGTTTTGCTGTTGTTGTTGTAGTTTGTGTTCAAGTTCTCCAGTCGGTACGTCAACGCCTTGTTAACTCCCCAGTCTCCATCAAAAGCGCTTACGGAGATGACCGACGTGCCAACTGGCGCAGCTTCCGAGATCATCGCCAGGTAAAGTGATTGGTTGAATACTGGCGCAATATCATTGACATCTGTGACATCAATATCGACGTATATTTCTTCGTATGATGTCGTTTTTGCGTCAGTTGCGCGGACAAGAAGTTGGTAGCTAGTTCGAGTCTCGTAGTCAAGACGAGATTCCACTGTCAGGACCCCTGGTATCATTTATAAAAAAAATTAGAACGTTAGAAAATATTACATGATATGATGGGCTGTTAACCAGGAAAAAACACTCCTGTGCATTCTCTGTTCTTCATTGCCGCGTTGCCGTAGATTACATGTTTTTGGTTTCAAGTTTAACTTGCTGATAATGTTTATGCGAGCCATATTCGTCTCACTAACAGCTTAAGTTTAGGTTTTAGGCCAGTCATCAGAGCATTTACCTGTTTTCAAATCAATGGCGAACTGATTCAGAGGATCCCCCGCACGATTGTATAAAAGATGTCAGCGCCTCCCGGACTCCTGGCTTGTACTCGACTGACTTCCTGTCCAACTTTGATATCCTCCCTGAGTACTCTTTCGTACGACAACTGGTCAAATATCGGCGTCTCTTTATCCACCACTTTGATCTTCACGGTTGCTTTAGTGCTCAACCGCACCAGGCCTTTATCGTGCGCTTCAATTTCAAGGGTAAAGACCTTGGGAACGACTACGTTATCCAACAGTCTCGCTACTCTGATTTTTCCGGTGGTATGTTCCAATCTGAAGAGCCCGTCACCACCCGCCTTGAGTAAATATCTGGACGAGAGAAGAAAACACAAAGCAAATAAGTATGATAGCAAACGAAATGCGTACTGTTTGTTCAAAATCTTCTTTAGAGAAATCAGATATGGGCTAAGAAGCAAAATGTATCAATAGTCGAAAGTTTCAAAAACATAGTACATGTAGATGCTAAAATATCACACAAAAAAATCAAAGTAATATTGGCTGGATATTTTTCAAAGTTCGTGTTTTTAGTGCAACGTTAGCCGTAATCGAGGGTTTAAGCAAATATCTTTTTTTTCCTTGCTCTCCTTAATATTACGTACTGTAGTGTAGTTGTAATGTTAGTATTGTAAGCAATGTTTAGGATTGTAAGCAATGCTATCTTGTAAGTAATGTTTAGTATTGTAAGCAATGTTTGATGTTGTAAGTAACGTTAGTATTGTAAGTTTTGACAGCATTGTAAGTAGAGTTAGTATTGTAAGCAATGTCACTATTGTAAGTAGTATAAGTATTGAAAGCAATGTTCGTATCGTAAGAAATGTAAGTACTGTCAATAATGTTAGTACTGTAAGTAACGTTAGTATCCATAATAATGTGCGTATTCAAATAAATTTTTCCCAAAAAAGACAATTATCTTCGACTCGCTCAATTGCTGGCGTAATGGCATGTAAAGATATGGGGTAGTTGTTGGGCCCGAAATTCGTCGTAACCATATTCACATAGACCCGTACAAAACACATAAGCATCGAATCAGAGCACGTTAATAATTAAGAAATAGAAAACACGTACCGTGTTTCTATCGAGTTTTAGAATAAATCAACTAGCGTTCTATCACAAATGCCGTTCTCTGATTGGCTATTCTGTGATAGATAGTGAGTAGCGTAGCAGTGTGTCCTTTTTAACAAAATGACGGCCGCTTCTTGGCGTTTTCGAATTGTCTGCGAAGGGGATTTCGATAAAGATTCGAACGACTACTAGATTTATATTAAAGTAATTAGATTATTCGCTCTCGATTCTATGCGTGATAGTTGACTCAGACTGCGTCCTCGTCAACTATCGCGCGATAAAAATCTCGAGCTCATAATCAAATTATTAAATAGAAACACAATTTTGTAGCCAATCAGCGCGCGTATTTTCTTTGGGCTAGTTTCTAAACACTTCTACTAAATCACATACTTAATTTCGCCATTGTTGCCGATGTCACTATCGTGTGCCTCGACCTTTCTGACAGTGGCCCCGACATCTACCCTGTTCTTCACGACGAAGAAGTAGGACTCCTTGGTGAACTTCGGCGCATTGTCATTGACGTCATCAACTTCTACAAGGAGCACGCTCTGAGCAACTCTCGACGTCGGTTTTCCACCGTCCCGAGCTTGTACGACGATTTCATATCGATCTACAGTCTCGCGGTCAAATTCTCTGCCAGACAAGGTAGACACAATACCCGTGCTTTCGGAAATGACGAAGAAATCTGACGGGGTAACGATTGAGTAGGTAATGGTCTCGCCGATTGAATAACCGACTGCACGAACTTCAGCGATGTCGCTTGCTGAGCTGAGTCCTTCCAGAACAGAGGTGTTGTATCTGGCCTGACTGAACTTCAAGTCGCTGACAGGCAGAGGCTTGCAGTCGATGTCGACGGTGGCTTGATCTGTGAAGTTCCCGTCGGAAACAGAAACCGTAAGGTA